CCCCCCTCTGCTCCCCCACCACCAGCCCCAACGCCTCCCCTCCCCCCCCGCTCTGTCCTTCCCCGGCTCCAGAATGGCGGGCGCTCACACCCCACTGGCTCTTCAGGAGGACACCCCAGACCCCAGAGCAGACCTTGCTCATGCCCTCAGCTGGGAGGGCAGGGGGCTTCCAGCAAAGCCCGGCGGGAGCCAGAGGGGCTGCGGACCTGCAGCCAGCGCCAGCCCTGCCGGGTGGCCTGGGCATCTCGCCACCTTTGGTGGCAAACACAAGAGCTTGCCTTTGCACAGCCACCTAAAAACCCTGGAGGGATGTGTCCCACCCAGGGCAGCTCTTCTGGAGAGCCAGGTGCCACACTCAGCCACCTCCTGAGGGCTTGTTCTCTCTTCCCCTTCCAGGTGACGCTGATCAAGCCCGAGGCACCCGCTTCCACCTTTGGGCTCCGTCACTCACTCTATACAACTCCTCTGATTGTGCCTCCCTGAGCAGCCAACCCCACTCACCACCTCCTGCTGCTCCCTCAAGGCAAAAACCTGAAGGATTCCCTTCTGCTTCCCCAAGACCTGCTGTTCCCACACCCTCAGCAGCTCATTCCTTTGACTAAGCTGTCCCCTTCTGACCCTGTTCTTCATCTTTGCTACCAGTGCATGTTAGAGATTTAGTGTTTCAGCCTTGTTCAATGTTCTGTTTACTCAAGTGTTACTTGTTAGTTAAGAAAAATAAAGTTTGTTCTCTGCATAAGGCATTGGTGTGAAGGATCCCTGCACTCTCCATTCCCTCCTGCTCTCCCCTCACACACAGCCCATGAGAATTGTAGAATTGTCTGGCTTGGAAGGGACCTTTAAGAGCATCCAGTCCAACCATCAACCTAACTCTGATAAAACCCATCACTAAACCATGTCTCTAAGCACTATGGCAACCTGCCTGTTAAATCCCTCCAGGGATGGGGCCTCAACCACTTCCCTGGGCAGCCCATTCCAAGGCTTAATTACCCTTTCAGTGTAAAAAATTTCCCTAATATCCATGCTAAACCTCCCCTGTGCAACTTGAGGCCTTTTCCTCTTGTCCCATCACCTGTCCCTTGGGAGAAGAGACCACTCCCCCCCCAGCTACACCCTCCTTTCAGGGAGTTGGAGAGACCGAGAAGGTCTCCCCTCTGCCTGTACCCTATTTTTTCCCACTTACTATTTCCGCCACTTTTAGCACAGCAGGAAGACCAAGCGCTTCCCCAGTGACCTGTGGCAATTTCCCTCTCCCTGGTAAAGAAGAAGCCTCAGAAGAGGCTCCCCACCATCCATCCTTGGTTCTGGAGCACCCCAGGAGCTCAGATGATGCAGACAAACCACCACAGGGGTTTTGCACACCAGTTGTTCAATGTCTTGCTAATTGAGATGGCTCCATGCTCTCATTAGCTCCTAACAGAAGGCACATAAGGTCACTCACCATTAGCAACTGAATGCTAACTTAGGTTAACTTCTGGTCAGATGGGATCAGATGGTTATTGTTTGCACCTCCCTGTGTAGGTGAAAAAGAGCTTGCAGTGGGAGCAGGAGCTCCACCATTCCCCCTGAGCCCCCCCCTGCCCCTGCTGTCTGCACAACCTGCCATCCCCGCTCCCTCCACGGTGTGGGAAATAAGCTAAGTTTTGCTTCAGCTTATTGATGTATCATTATTAGTGTGATAATACTAACAAAGAAGCCTTAGTAATAGTAGAGTCTAATAAATTGTATCCAATTAATCCCCAAAAATGCCCTTGGTCTTTCAAGGGATCCTTGTTCGCAGAGCGTTATCTAGGTGAAGAGAAACAAACTGGAACATGGCCTTCAACACAAAAGCCCAGAGGGTAGGGGAGTATCAATAAGGCCAAAGAAACCAGTCTGGTAAATCTGCCAAATAGATAGTAGCAAAGACTCTGAAATAATGTGTAGCATAATCAACTAATCAAAGGCGTGTTTGGGATGATGATTTCGTAAAATAGGTGTATGTGTGCCCTATATGGAAAAAAGTGCAAAATAAACCTGTAATAAGTCAAGCGGTCGGGAAGAATGTGAGCTCCAACTTCTCAGCCAATGAGAAGAGAGACAGAAACTCAAGCGGCCGGGATAAAGGTATAAAATACCTGAAAGATAAAAGATCATCGTGCATCTATTTTTGGTGCACCCGATTCAGCGCTGTTTCGTATTAATAAATTATTATTTTTTTAACCTTTGCTTCGGTGACTTTGTCCTCTTTAAATTCTAAGATGTGAGTTGGTGTTTCTCACAATGGGCACCTTCTCCAGCCTTTGGTGCCCTTTGTGAGGGCTGGTGTTGTTGAAATTAGGTAATAAGCTAAAAGAAACCGGGTTGGTTTTGGAATGATGAGGGTGGAATGATGGGGTGGCACTGACCATCTGGGGCCCGTAGGTCTATGGCCACCCCACGGCTCGTTGTCTCCTGTGGAGTTAGTGACTGAGGATTAGCTGGCCTGCGATGGCTCTGCTTCTAAGGGTGTGTAGTGGCTATTAAAAATGGTTCCACTTCTGCTCTTTGGCCCCTGCGTGGAGTCCTGTGGTGGCCACCATGGCACGGGCACGCGGGCAAGAGCGTGTGGTGTGGGTGTGAGGTGGGGAGATGGCAACAGAAACACCTTTGCTGGGTCACCTTCCCATAGAGCGGATTTTTTGCACATCAGCTTGTTCCAGAAACAGGAAATTGTCCTTCCCTCAGCCCTCGCTGGGTTTGTGAGTTCCTGTGGACTCAGTGTACCTGGTAGGAGAGCATGAAGCTGGAGGAGTGGTGGGGCAGTGGTGCCCCAGTGGTGGGGCAGCACTAAGCAGGATGAAGAGGAGCCATTTCCTCAGGCATTAGGTAGGGACACCGTCCCTTCTGGTACTTCCCTCTTGGTCCTGTGATAAATGATGTAGCCTCAAACAGGATTCCAATTAAAGTTTACAATTTATTAAACGAGGAAAGACAAGCAAACAGCGCTGAGTGCGCCGTCAGTCTCTGCTCGACCAAGACGCACCACGTGCAGGTCCCGTTTTGGGTTTATATTTCTTCTGCTAATACATATTCATAGCAAAGGTTGGCCTATGCTAATGATCTCCAGGGATGGGCCTGTCTTCGTTGGCCTCCCCTTCTGGAATCTTCTTTGACTCCCACCCGCTGGTCGGTGGGTGAAGCAGTTTTCCTCGGCTCGCCCCCAGGACGACCCCCGACTCCAGGGGGGAGGGGGTAGACAATGGGACATGAGCACTTGCATGAAGGTTCACACAAGGGTTCCTGACAGGCTGAGGGGATCTGGGGGTGGGGAGAGAGAGATTTGGGAGGCTGGGGGGAGGGAAGGAAGGAGATGGTGGCGCACGACAAGACTTGTATTTGCACGAGGATTCGCACAAGGCCTCGTCTGAGGGCTCACATGAGGGTGCATCCAGGGCTGGGGGTTGGAGGTGTGGGTGAGAGGTTTGAGGGAGGATTTAGGGAGGTGGCACACGAGGGGGTTTGCAGGGTGTTTCTCACTATTTGCTACTCATGATATTGCAAGACTTTTGTAACCACTTTGTGTTTTTTTGCATTAACAAAGAGTCCAGTCTCAGTGTGTACCCGTAGGGGCAGGTGGCTGGGCCCTGGCCAGTCCTGGCTCTCATTCCTTCCCCGGATCTAGAAGCAGGAGACCCTGTTCTTTAGGATGGGTGTTTTAGGACCTAACCCTCTGTCCCTGTAGAATCAAAGTTCTGCATGATTTGGAACTGTGTCCTGTGGTTAAAGGTATTGACACGAATCAGGTGAACACATTTCACAGAGAGACTCCCAGTTCAATCTTTAATTGATTGCTCTCCACTCTACCTGACCCACTCTGTGCAATGGGGGAGACAACACGTTTGTTGTGCACGACAACAAACTGCCTCACACACTCGCTCAGCAGCCTCGACAGAACAAGGAACTGCCGGCGGGGGAGCGGCGCGGCCCGGCCCGGCCCAGCTCAGTGTGGCCCCATGGCCGAGGGCGCGGCGGCTCCAACGGTGCTCTGGGGGGACCGGACACCTCGGCGGGGCAGCGCTTTTCCGGAGCGGCGTCCTTAACTCGCAGGGCCACGAGTCCTCGCTGGACAGCCATCACCCGCAACCCACCCGGCCAACCCCCGCCAGCTTCCAGAACCTTCCACAGAGAGCAACTGCGCATGACCCTCCAGCGTCTCTCTGCCCCCCCCCCCCCCCCACCCTCACCCCGCCCCCCTCCCCCCCCCCCCCCCCAGTAGATGGTAGCAAAGACCGTGAAATAACGTGTAGTGTAATCAACTCATCAAAGGCATGTTTAGGCTAATGATTTCTTAGGGTAGGTGTGTTTATGCCTTACAAGGTGAAAAGGTGTGAACTAAACCTGGGATGGGTTTGGCAGTCGGGAAGAATGTGAGTTCCAGCTTTTCAACCAAGGAGAAAAGAGAGAAAAACCCAGGCAGCCAGGACAGGGTATAAATACCTAAAAACAGAGAGATGAAGGGTGCCTCTGCTTTGAGATGCACATGATTCAGTGCTGTTTCATACAATTTTATTTTTAATAATTTAATTTTTACTTTGGCAACTTTGTTCTCTCTTAAATTCTAAGTGTGAGCTGACGTTTCTCACACTCTGATGGCCTTTTCCCTCAATTCTGACATTGGCATCCCACAGACCTGAGTTACCCCAACCCTGGGACGTGACAGCAATGTGTCCCCGGAGGAAAGCGGTCCCCGCTTTCAAAAGAGCTCTGTCAATCCTCATTCTACAAGCGAAGCTGATAAGGAATAAAAAGGAAAAAGGACTTGACCGCATTCATCTAGAAGTTCACTGGCAGAAATAAAACCTATGCTACTATGGTTTTGTGCCCACTCCACGACACTGCTCTCTACCCCTTGTCCCCCTGCATCCTTCTCCAAGCTGCTTTCATGAGCAGCTTTCCTGACCCTCCAGAAAGGCGTGAGCCACACCTGGCCATTATGGTGTTAATTCTAGTGTATGCCTTTCCCTTCTGCTGCAAACTACAAGTCTTCTCTCTCACAAGTTGTCTCAGTCACTCAAGAAAAATGGTGAGTGGGCTGCCAAAGATCAACATTTATTGGGTGTTGTGTTACCACAAACTGGCAGATAAAACTTTCTAAGACTCAAAGTGTAGAAAGCAGGCATTCTTTATTGCGGCACCTGGTGCACAGGGGATAGCTCCTGCTATGGTGCACCTCAAATACTGTTGTCAAATTAAATTTATACACAGCAGGTATACAATGTAATTCCAAGAAAACATTAGCATATTCATTATATTTCTGAGAATTTACATATTACAATAAGCTGCTGGGCATGCACAGTTGTGCCTTCTGGTGGTCTTCATTTTGAGTGAGAGTCGTTTCTTCCTCTGTCTTCACCTTCTTCACCTGTCCTTTGGCCCACTTTTCATCTTGGCAAAACAATCTAATTGCTTAATTGCTCATTAAAACTAATGGTCTCCCTGCTACCACCTGTTTGTCAGACGATGTCCATATTTATTGCATCCCTGTCTTAGGTCACCGTTTTCTCGGCGCCACAGACATCCTTTCTTATCTTACTAAGTCCTTGAAACCATTTGGGATGGTTACTAAAACAGCTACATTTCTTCTCTAAAAGAGATTCTCTACAGTTTAACCATTTATAAACTACATGAAAATGGCCTTAGGTGTGAATGCGCTGGAATCTCTTTGCTCAAGGCGCAGGGTTCTCCTGGGCTGCCTGTTGCCACATCAACATCTCTTGGGATGACAGACCCTCTCCTGGTGCATCAAGAAGAGCTTGTTTTGATTCTGGGACAATTTGAGAAGCACTCCTCCTCCAAATGCTAGGAATGGAGGCAGATTAGATTAAAACCCAAGGTCTGCCCCAGCTAAACGTCCTGTTCTGGACAAGCGCACCACCCCTGGGCCCTCCTTGCTGAGGAGATGCCTCCAGCCTGGCCCCTTTGGAAAATACCTCTTGGTACCACTCACCTCCTCTTCTTCTTGCCTGTGCTCGGTCATCATCCTCCTTCTTCACCTGCTCACTCTTCAGCAGACGGGGGCTGCTTGGCCTCTACTCTTCCTCCTGCTTTCCCTGCCTCTGGGGCTTCCCTTTGCCAGATGGCATGCTTTTCCAAGCTCAACTGAAGAATGCATCAGCCTGCTCCTGGCTCCACACGCGCATTCTCTTAGTGCTTGTGACCTTCGGCTCTGAAATAGATTCAGAAAAATGCAAATAAAATCCCACTTCCCCTTTTATCTTTTGTGTTATGTATACTTGAAAGGCTTTTTGGAGCTGAAAAACTCATGACGTTTCCGGCAAGTATCAGGCTCCTTCTTGGAGTCATTCTCGTTAGAGGAAGGAGGAGAGAAGAGTTACACGATGCTATGCCCAGGGTTCTGCACGACAAGCTCTGACCTAGGGCTGAGGGCTCCATCCAGGAGAGCCGCTCTCTGCACTGCTGGTCTCAGGCCCGTCCAGGAGTCAGGGCCAGAGACAGGCACACCTACAACATCCCTCTGGCAGGGATGAAGGCCCCAGGCTGAGCTGAGACCCATCCCCTGGCCCTTTGGCAGGGGGACAGCGGAGCTGGGGGTCCCGGGAGGCCGGTCCCAGCCACTCAGTGTGTTGTGTGGAAAGTGTTCAAGTGCCTTTACAGCCTTCTGAAGCGCTGGGGCCCAGAACTGCGCACAAGATTCAAGCTGGGGAAGCAGCAGCACTAAGGACAGCAGGATAATCACCTCTTCTGACCAGCTGCTCATGCTGTCTTTGATGCACCCCAGCATGTGCTTTGGCCCTCTTGGCTGCCAGGGCACACCGCTGGCTCCTGCTAAGCCTCCTGGCAACCAGCATCTCCACCTCCTTTGCTGCAGGGCTGCTCTCCAGACACCCCTCTCCCGCTTTAGACATGTGCCCACCATTACTCCTTGCCAGGTGCAGAATCCACAATTTGGTCTTCTTCCGTTTCATGCCATTAATCGGAGCCAGCGCTCTAATCCACCCAGATCCCACTGCAAGGCCTCTTCTTCCCCACGTCAACAGCACCTCCCAGACAACCTCTCAGAAGCAAACTTACTCACGCTGCATTCAACTCCTGCATCCAGAGCACAGAGAAAAGCCTGGAAAAGAACCCCGAACTACAAACGAACAAACCTCCAGGCTCACGAGGTTTGCGGTTTTTTCCCGATTCTCGCTTCACGGCCCTGTGGGAGGCCTTAGAGCGTGGCTGCCTCCTGCTTCTTCGTTTCCTTCTAGGGAGGAACCAGGACACCCCCCTGGCCAGTCTCTTCCGGAGCTGGGCCAGCCTGGGGAGCAGTGACCAGTGGAGGCAGCAGCAGTCCCCGAGGAGCTCCGGGGTGACCTTGGGATGGTGGCCAGAGGCAGGGCACTGAGGCCGGTGGTCGGGCTGCCCACCCCGTGGGGTGTGGGGTGTCCTGGAGGAGCCCCCTGAGCACATCCCCTTGGCTGGAGCTGCTGGGTCTTGAGCTTCCAATGGGAACTGTCCCAGTGGGTACGTTTGAGGGGCAGCCCCAGCGCCGAGTGGGGATTGAGCCGCCGGGAAGGGCTCTTGATGTAGTGGGGTGGTGTGGCATGGGGGCTCTGGGGCTACACAGAGACCTTCCTGGCCGTATCCAACGTGCCCCAATCCCAGCTGTGGTGCGCAGGATGGGCTTTCCCAGTTGCACCGGCACTTGTCCAGGCGGGTTTTGAATGTTTCTAGAGATGGAGACTCCACCACCTCTCTTGGCAACCTATGCCAGGGCTGGCTCTGCTGCCCTCAAAGAAAGAAGTTCCTCCTCATGTTTAGATGGCCCCTCCCAAGCTACCCTGCACCAACAGGAGAACCTCTCCAGCCCCCTCGGGCCCCAGCCCCCACCAAAATGGCCCCCGTGCCCCAGCAGCCCCCTGTTCCATCCCTCCGGTGAGGACTGAAGCCAGGCACAGCAGGGGTAGGCCTTGGGGCGGTGACAGAACCCCCACCAACATCTCTGGGGATAAGCACTTTTTCTAGAAATAATGGGACAGAGCCGTCACACAAGTGTCCTGGTGGTACCAACAGCAACCCCGTGAGGCACCAGCGCTGGCCAAGGTCCATGCCCGGGCCCACCCACGGATGGCCGTGGTGTCAGGCACTGGGAACCAGGCCTGGGGCTCTGCCGACCTGTGGCTGGGCCCCAAGGGGCTTGAGGACACTGTGGCCATGGACAGCAACTGACAGTGACACCAATCTGAGCAGCACTTGGTGCAGGAGGCTGTGATGGGAGCCCGACAGACTGGCAAGGGTCCGTGGGGTGAGGGATCATCTGGCCCTGGACCTCCTCAAATGGGCATCTCCAGGCACACAAGCCTGACAAGCAAATGTACTGGAGGCAAAAGAAAGGCCTTCAGTGACTACTGGGCACTGGATGGGCCCTAATGGGTGGGCCATCACCAGCTGGGGGTGATGCAAAGTATCTCCACACCTGGGTGCTGAGGCTGATGTCAAGACGCTCCCCGAGCTTGGGCTTTTACTGCCCTGGGAGCAACAAAGCGGTGACCAGCCCTCCGAGCGTCCCACGGCTTGAGCAGTGTGGGGAAAGGCTGGCTGGAGCAAAGCAGAAACGGGACCCTGCCTGGACAAGAGCAGACCCCAGGAGCGATAACTATTGCAACTAGAACCATTATCAAAGACTGAAGGAGGCTGGTCAGCAACCCAGAAGGAGGAAATACAAACATGTCTGAGCTTTCCCCAAACAGTGGGTTTCTAGTTCAGCATCGGTGGCTTCTGAGTGTTTGGAACTGGGACACAACACTCACCCATTGACAGGTTCAGAACTCCACAGCTACCTTTTGCCTCTGACAGCACCAAGTCTCTCACACGGCTCGGTTTGGAATGGTTTTCCATCCACCACCCAGTTTGTGTTGGGGCCTCTTCCCACCCCTTTCAGAAATGCCTTGGCCTACAATCCCACCACTTGTCTACTATGGGCCCTTCCTGATAAATGGGGCCAAGGGAGAGCACGGCCAGTGTCCAGGAGATCCCAGGAGAGCTGGATGGAATCGGGAATATGGGGGGCCGTCAGAACATGGCCACAGAAAATTGGGGGGTGCAGGGACAGGTTGGCCCACACATGCCCTCCATGGAACTGGCCCTTCTGGGTGGGGCAGCGGGGGCTTCGGCCGCTCCTCTGTGAGGTCACAGCGGGATTGTGAGGTCACCGAGCCACCATAAGTACTGACGGCTCAGCCCGTGCTCCCCAGTGCAGCAGCAGCAGCACTTGCAGCAGCAGCACGATGCAAGCGAAGGGGGCCATGGCCCCTGCCCAACGCTTCCTCCTCATCCTCTTCCTCCTGGTGGCCCTGCACACCAGGGTGGCCTGGGCTGCTCCCTGGCAACCTCGGGGAGCAGGTAAGCGAATGGCATTGGCAACCTCCACCCACCTCTGGCTCCCACCTGGTCACCTGAGCCCCTTGCAGTCCCTGCAGGTCCCTAAGGCAGAAATGGATCCCAACGTGCAATGGAAACCTTTCTCATCTCTGCTTGCTTCTAGATGAGGGTGATGGAAATGGATATCCTGCTTATCCACTGGATCTTGGATTGCATCCCTTAGGGCTTCCTGCAGGTACGTTCTCAGTGTCCCTTTCCTTGAAAGCAGAAACATTGACAATGTGGCAAGAGCTTATTCATGTGCAATTTCCTATAAGATCCTCTCAGGGTCACCAGCTTCCCAAATTCTTGCCCTATTCCTGTCCTTGAGCCCGAGAGCAGTCCCACCACTAAGTCAGCGGGAGGAAGGAGCATTTCCCTTTTAATCCTTTTCCCATGTAAAATGACTTTGCTCCATCCGTGCCCGATGCGCAGACGTGGAGAAGAGCAGAGAGGGAATGGGTCGGGGCCAGTGATGTGCCCTCGGGCCAACGGGGGTGACAAGAAATGGTGGAGGCGTCTCCTGGGTGTTTATTTTACAGCTGTGCCCAAAGGGGAGGCTTTTCCAGCTCCTTGGCTGGATCCCGCACTAGATCCCGGCTGAGGTCGCAGGGTGAATTGTCTGTCCCTGCTGACCTGACCGGCTTTGCGCTGATTTCTGTAATTGTTTGATACGAAACTGAGCCAAATACTTTCTGTGAAGGTCTTCCAAGAGAGAAGTACCCAGCAGAAGGCGGGGAAGAGTCCCCGGAGCCATCTGAAGTCCTCAGGGACATTCTGAAGGAACAGAAGGGAGGATACGGTGGGTGTATTTCACTCTGCGGTAGCCGTGGGACTCGGACACCAGAGGTTTTTGCTCCACGCCTGGACGGGCTGTAGCCTGCAGAGCAGGAAGGGATCCATCAGAGCGTCACCGCAGCCACGCTGGGTTTCAGCCCTTGCGGGCGCTGCCAAGCCACGAGGATGGTCTAGGGCCTCTGCGGCCAGTGGTGGCTCCAGCCAGGTGCCTGATGCAGCCGCTGCCCCACTTTGACCATGAGGACTCAGAGCTGTTTGCACAGAGGTCGGGAGGCAGATTTGGGGTCCTGGCACGTGCTGCACTTGTGTCCAGCTGCCCCAGCTCTGCTGGCGCAATGGGCCAGTTCCAGGGGGGAGCAAGGTCCCAGGCAACTCTGGCTGCCCTTTCCTAGTCCTGCAAGGCAGCTGGAGATGCTGATTCGGAAGCTTTTGGGGTTGTGCTCGATTTCCCGTCTGCAGACCAACAGCTGGGATGGGAGGAATTGTTTCTCACCCTCATGGGTGTCTCGGAGAAGTACTGCCTCCTGAAGGTGCCACCTCCCTGCTGGGGAAGGCTTCCATCTGACCCAACTGTCCCACTTCCTTTCTCTAGTGATGGACCAAGAGGCTGTGCAGGAGGTGGTGTTTCCAGAAGGACACAGCAACTCACTGCCAGTCCCGGGTGGAGCAAGAGAGGCCATGACAGGTAACTGCTGTCCCGTGGCCAGCCGGTGTCACCCCTCGGGATCACCGTGTGTCAGCAGGCTCTTCCCCTGGGCCCGCTCCTGCACCTCCCGTCAGCAGCCAAAGCTGAAAGGGTTCTGGGTTCCAGACATCGTGGCCACCTTCTGCAGATGGTGGGGAAGGGGACACTTGCAGGAACACAGCTCCCTCTGTGGCTGTGTCCCAGAGCTGGCCGTGAGTCCCCTGAGGCCCAAGCAGAGGAGCAGCAGAGAGCGGGGTCCCCCCCGTCAGCTGAGGGCCCGAGCCCTTCCCTGAGTGCCCCTGGGCAGGGGCTCTGAGGGAACAGCCTCATCCTCCTGCATCCTCTGGGTCTGAGCCCTGCTGAGGCTTGACCTGTCCTCTCTGCTTTTTGGCAGTGCTGTACAGCGTATATGACTTTTTTTGGTCAAACTCGGGAACTGAGCAGAGCTGCTGGGGTCCCTAAGTGGGAGACACGTCCCCAGACCTGGGAGGGGCTGCTGGAGAAAGGCACAAAGGGAGAGCTAGGCTCCAGCGTCTCCCGAGAGGGCCTGACTCTGTCCCCTCGGGGTGGGGGAGCTGGCCTAAGGGGAGGAAGGCAGGGAGGGAGAGTTGGGGCTGTCACTGCTGGCTGCAGGGATGGGTTGTGTTCGTGTCCATCAAAGGAGCGACTGGTCAAGCAGCTGCGCTTCCCCCCGTGCTCTCCTCCTGGCCCTCGGAGCTGGGTTTGGTCGGACACCCTGGTGCCTCCAGGCGCCAGCCCTGGGGCTACACAGAGACCTTCCCGGCCGTATCCAACGTGCCCCAATCCCAGCTGTGGTGCGCAGGATGGGCTAACATTCCCAGTTTCTCCTCCAGATGCCGTCAGAGAGGAAATCCCAGCTGTTCCCAAAACCAAGAGCACGGCAAAGATCATCAATGCCCAAGATCTGCAAATGAACTGGATCATTGGGACACCAGCAGCCCTGGCTTTCGTGCTCTATACAACAGTCATTTGCTCCATTGTCATTCTCCAGCGATGGTTGAAGAAAATGAGGTGAGTTCTTGAATTTTCCCCTCGCGGCTTCCTTCCTTGGCTGCTTGTAGCCAGGATGCCTTTCTGGTGAGGCTGCTGTGGAGTGGCCAGTTAGTGGTCGGCCAAAAAGCTCTGCTGAGGGTTCTGCTGCTGTCAGATGCCTTCGTTGGCCTCGGCTCTTGGATGATCTGCTCCCCAGATGCCTTCTGGGGAGCCCACTCTGCCTGGAGCCAGCCTTAGCGCTGCCCCTGCCTGGACAAGAGCAGCCCCAGGAGCAAGGGGCACAGGCCAAGCCAGGTGAGGAGGAGAAGGAGCAGGCCGTGGGATGGCCCTAGCAAGCCAGAGGCGCAGTAGCGCCTGCTTCTGCCCAGGAGAAATCCTCCTGCTCGGTGGTGCCTGGAGGTGCAGATGTCCACCAGGGCCAAGCCGAAGTGGTCAGCCCTGCCAGCGCCGAGCTGGGCCATGGAGGATCGTCCCTGTGTCCCACCTGCAGCTGAGGCCTCAGCAGCCTCCTCTCTCCACAGAGACGCCTCTGCAGTTTCAGAAGCCCAGCTGGAAGTTGGCGGCTGCTCTGGCACCACTGAGAGATGGACCCAACGCCAGCAGACGCCGCTCCCACCTGCATCACCGGTGGCACGACCGCCCTCCCAGGAGCCCCTGCTCCCCACCAGCCTCTCCCCAGCCAGCCTGGACCAACAGGAGAACCCGTCCAGCCCTGTCCGGCCCCAGACTCCACCAAAAGAGCCCCCATGCCACACCACCCCACTACATCAAGAGCCCTTCCCGGCGGCTCAATCCCCACTCGGCGCTGGGGCTGCCCCTCAAACGTACCCACTGGGACAGTTCCCATTGGAAGCTCAAGACCCAGCAGCTCCAGCCGAGGGGATGTGCTCAGGGGGCTCCTCCAGGACACCCCACACCCCACGGGGTGGGCAGCCCGACCACCAGCCTCAGTGCCCTGCCTCTGGCTCTGGCCACCATCCCAAGGTCACCCCGGAGCTCCTCGGGGACTGCTGCGGCCTCCACTGGTCGCTCCCCAGGCTGGCCCAGCTCCAGAAGAGACTGGCCAGGGGGGTGTCCTGGTTCCTCCCTAGAAGGAAACGAAGAAGCAGGAGGCAGCCACGCTCTAAGGCCTCCCACAGGGCCGTGAAGCGAGAATCGGGAAAAAAACGTAAACCTCGTGGGCCTGGAGAAAGGCGGTCTGGGAGACAAACAAAGGGACCGAGAAAACAATAAAGGAACACGGATAGAGGAATACAGAAACACGGTTAAGACCACACCGGGGACGTCCCCTGAGTGCTCCCAACTGTGACTTTTTGCCCCCTGC